CGGTGCGTTCTACATTGTCTCCCTGAACACAAGACCAAGTTGCGACAACGAGGTCAACCCACTTCTATAATATTTTATGTTTTTATTACATAAGAAGTAACAATGCGCTCCTCTTTTAGTTGATTAAACCTACAGTCGGCACTGGTTTATTTATCCACAACTTCGATTGATTTTTGTTAATATTTGAGCCTTTTCATAAAACGTATCAATGCTTTCGCTATACTTTTTTGTAGTGTTGAACTATGACTCTCAGCCTTACATCCACCATTTTACTAAATACACATTTTACTTGTATTTATTCCTTGTTCTTCGTCTTCTTTATTAGTTAAATAGATGCCTGATACAACCATTTGTCAACTTTACATTTGATACCTTTTACTTTGCTTAGCCATCGTTTGCTTAACTCCTATTCATTATTTGATTAACTACTTGGTTGTTCCTATGGCAGCGTTGTTCCTTGTCTCAATACGATATCTTCTTAACCTTCTGATGGATAGCTACTTTGAAGTTCGGCTTTCCTTTTCTAGTGGAACTTCACCTGGCTAAATCAAAACTATCGTTTCCACTTGAATATTCCATGATAGAATTTTTAGTATAGTTTGTCAAATCATCATTCTTGCCTAAACTCTTCATTTTCAATTTTTTATTTTGTCTCCAGAATGGCCAGCTGTATCGTGTGTGGTTTCTTTCAGGGCATGTGCTCAATGATTTTGAATCATTGCCCTCTGAAGCCAATATTCAAGCTGCCGGTTCCTCGTCACAGCCATTCGAGGAAGCGACAGAGGCAGTGGTTAAATTCACCTCTGCTTGTGCAGAACTGTCTGTTGTCAGCTGCCACTCTGCTTCTTCCACTTGCCAGATTACTCTAGGTTTTGATTCTCCTTTGACAAAGCTTGGTTCAACTTCATTAAACCCTGTAGTACTGGACGATAGAGGGGGTGAAGAGGAGTTTCTTACAAAGGAGGAAGAAAGTTTTGACTTTTTACGCAAGGCCGACAAACTTGCTCCCTCTGCACAGGTACATATATGTGGAAGTCAACTGGCCGAAACTGTTAGAGAATCAGTGTTTGAACTTGACCCACCAATCTTACCTTCATTACCTGCTACGACTCAGGCCATGTCTCAGCCAACCTTCGCGCCCAGATATGCGTCTGCTTTCCGAGTTCCTGTGGCCTGTGCGACTGCATTTTCCCAGTCTGCCATTCCAGTTAGTTTTATCCTCTTTTGCCTTGATAAATCAGCAATGTTGAACTTTGCCACATTTTATGCTATTATAGGCCAAGACCTCTCTTATCTTTGGTTTGCTCCTCCTTATAGGCATATTTTCGACCCTTTCTTCTAATATTAAAACACAATATGTTTTTCTTACCCCAGTCTCTCCCTATCACTTCTACTAAGGCAGGTGTCAATACTTCTTCCACCTTCCCAAATCGAGCTTTGGAAGCAGGGGAAGACTTGGGTCATTCGTTTTCCTCTTGCATGCCCTCTTCCCTGAATCGTCCTTCATCTTACAATTTATTTGCTGTTGACACCACCGGGCTAACTGGTTTGAGAAACAATAGTGAAATCAGTACTTCACTCCCCATGCATACCGGCATCATTAATGCCTCCAATAATGTCATCGTCAATGCTAGGGAGATTAAATCTACACTTGCCGACCTATCCAAGGTTGAAGCTGTTGAACTAACCTCTGGTGATGGGGCTAGTGCGTTTGCTGCTCAAAGTCGTCCAGCTGGACAGCTTGCAATGGGCTTGAGGCGTCACCTTCTTGTATTCAGTAGCCTCAGCGAGCTACGGCTGCTGCGTCATTGGCTGACGGTCCAAAAGCAGACATGTGAGAATGTGGAACAGAATCTTGGGAAGGCGCCTGGAAAGAATGAATCCGGTGGACAAGAGAAGGAAAACAGCATGGCAAACTCTGAAAAAGTAAGGGAACAGCACATAAGCTATTTTTCTCTTGCGTTTTTATTTGAAATGACCTGGATAAGGGTGCTACTTGCGGGATTTCCAAAGGAATACAGCTAGATAGCGGAATCATGGCCAAAAAAGCTTTCTTATTATTCAGCATTTCATATTCTGCCTAGAAGAAAGGACAATACTAATTAAATTGGATTTGCTTGATTGTGTGATTCCTTTATGCATGATCTAATGAAGCTCACCTGTCGTAGCTAAGCAATTTAATTCAGCATTTTTATAAATTGATCACGGTCTTTTTTGGCTGACTCAGTCACATTATTTTCGCTTTATAATACTTAGTTTCTAAAAGGTGAATTTTTCTAAGAATCGTTTGTAAAAAGCTAGATTCAAGCTTGCAAATTTTCGCAAGCATATTGTAACCAACTAGATGCAAAGGATCAACGTTCAAGGATATTCTTGCATGTCTACTATCAATGTTTATGACTTGATACTCTGATATGGTATGTAATGCTTGCTAAGCATTTATTTGATTTTATTCGGAAAGTTATTGCATTAATTGGTTTGAAATTACACATATTTGATTCATTTTCCTATTAGTGCAGGCTAATCAGCTTCTAGATGCTCCTTTCATTTCGACATCACTTTTGCTTTTAGTCTTTCCCCAGAAAGTTAGGACATTTAATTATAGATCGTTAGTAACTATATTCTTAAACATGACTTAAACTACTGTGAATTTGTGAACTTAAGGAAATGAATTTATCCTATCTGCTATGCTTTCAATAATAAACGGAGGCTTGTTCGAATATAGTATCAGATCTTGTATTAGGACATTTATTTGTGTTTCATAATATTTTGAACTTTTTATGTAAGATTGTGATCAGACGAAAGGCTTATCTTGGTCTTCATCTCTTAGATCTTCTCTTTCATCTCGGCCATCTGATACTAGTCCCGAAGGTGATTCATGTGGGCAGGGCTGGTAAATGCTTGGCACCATACCTC